CTGCCCACACTGCCAAAGGTACCAAAAGCTGGTTCAATGACCATGGTGTTACTGTGCTTGATTGGCCAGCAAACTCGCCTGACCTGAACCCCATAGAGAATCTATTGGGTATTGTCAAGAGGAAGATGAGAGACACCAGACCCAACAATGCAGATGACCTGAAGGCTGCTATCAAAGCACCCTGGGCTGCCATTACACCTGAGCAGTGCCACAGGCTGATTGCCTCAATGCCACGCCACATTGATGCAGTAATTCATGCAAAAGGAGGCCCAACCAAGTATTGAGTGCATAAAAATGAACATACTTTTCAGAAGCCTGACAGTTTAAAATATCCTTTTTTTATTGATCTTATGTAATATTCTAATTTTCTGAGACACTGAATTTTGGGTTTTCATTATCTGTAAGCCATAATCATGAAAATTTCAAGAAATAAAGGCTTAAAATATTTCACTCTATGTGTAATGAATCTATATAATATATGGGTTTCACTTTCTGAAATGAGTGACAAAAAATATTGACCTTTTTCATGATATTCTAATTTTTTTAGATGTACCTGTATGTGGGGGGCGGTAAGGTGTGGCTGACTCTTAATTTTATAAAGAATATCTCTTTGGATTTGAGACTTTAGTCTTTGCAACTTTACAGATCTTCTTTATGCACCAAGAGCTTGTAACACTCCAAAGAGAAAGGAAAAATTGAAATCGCATCATATGACTCCTTTAAATAAAAATGCAAGGCACAACATGCTTGGTTTACAACATTCTTGATTTAAGAATTATGATGATTTGTAATACCACTTTTGCATCATAGTTTGTATTCAAACCTCAAGCTTGAACATTCAATACATTCTGCATAGTTCCTATGGGGGCTAAAAGAGGGAAAAAAGGTCCAACGTAACAAACTGGTATAATAATCCCCATAATATTTAGTAATCAGGAATGACTTTGACAGGAATTGCCAGCCTTCCAAGAACAATATAAAGGTTCTCGTCTTGTTTTAGCATGGATCTTTTTAATGTTTTTTGGCCCCTGTTACTCTTCATGAAGATGAAGTCTAAAATATTAATGGAGTTAGATGTGTTGCTCTGAGTTGATTTTCTTGAAGCAGGCGTTTTTACTTTGGGTTTAGGGGAGTGTAATCTTTTCTTGTCAGCTGATTTACTAGAAGCAGTTGTGTAGGTAAACTCCTCAGGTTGGTTGGACGCACCTCTCGCTTCATGAGAAGGAACTAACTGATGTTGCTTGGAAGATTTAGTCTTGGAATGTCTTCTCTTTGTTTGGACATTGTGAGAAGATTTGCTGATGTTTGTGGCTTTTTTGGACGTTCTTACAACCAAATAATTTCTTTGAGTTTTCATAGATTTGGATGATTTTTTGGAAGCAATACGTGCCCCTTTTTGTGGTTTGCTTGATGACTTGGAAGATTTAGCTGATTCTTCAATATGAGGGATTCTTGTATGTGATGGAGGAGGAATCTGAAATTTAGTTGCTGATTCTTCTTTAACTTGCGGCTTTGTAGGTGAATGGGATAGTTGATCATGTTTCCTTGTAGTTTTTTGAGACTCCGCAGACTTACCATTTACTTTTGGACCACTTTTGTGGTGTTTTTGTTTTTGAGAAATTACATTTTGTCTGTTAATCCTTGCCCGTGATATAAGAGAAACTGTAGTCAGTGCCTTTCTTTTTTGTTGATTCTGTTGCGTTTCATTGGAGGTAACCAAGGTTGAAAGCCTTTTAGAGAATGCAGTAAGAGGATGGCTGGCGATACCTTTGGGAACTGTTGATCTCCTAGAAGATTTACTATATTTGTTGTCTGCCTTTGATGTGAAATTGATTTCAGTGTCTCCTCTTGTTGATATTGTTTGGATCCTTTTAGTTGAGAACTTTCCTTGCCTCTTAGTTGAACTTCCATTCATCTGGGAAAGTCCATCTTTTGCAAAGTTAGTTGTGTAGATAATATGTGGAGTTGGGAGGGTTTTGGGAATAACAGTTCTCATCTGAAATCTGCTGGTAGACATGCGCGTAATCCAAGCTGTAGTCAAGGCTGGAATCCGGGTGGTAGTAACCACAGCGATTTCTCTTTGATCCTGTGGTGGACGTGCCATATGACGTGCACGTTTGACTTTGTCTAACTCTTGTGCTAGTGCAGTGAAGCCATCAATCAGTATCTCAAGTTTTTGTTCTAGTTTACTTAGTCTTGTTTTAATGTCTGTGTATTTGTTGGTCAACTCATTGATTCTGTCTTTCCTGTCATTTGGAGACAAAACACTGGCTAGTGTCTTCAGCTGAGAGCTGAAGTGACTCTGGTGCTTCCTCATGTTCTCGAGGCTGTCTTTTATGTCCAGCGTGTTGCTCTCAAGCATACTGAGGCGCTGGTTGAAGCGATTCGTGTGCATCCTCAAGAGCAGCTGGAAGCTCTGCTGTCGTGCCTCTGGATTTGGTGTGTAACGTGGAGGCCCACGAGTCCAACGGTGATTTAAACTACGTATAGTTGTTGACAGAAAATATCTTGTAGGTACTGAAAAAGTACTATCTTCTGTTCTATCAAAGTATTCACCAATGGTATGGTCAGTTGTATCCAGAGCTTGCCTCTTCCCGGGGCTGAGGTAGAAAGCATCATCACATGTAGTGGGAAGGAAATCTTTTGAACCTTCTAGGAAGAAGTCCCCGCAGTTGGAAATGCTGAGATCCATTATGAGACAGGGCACGTTGGAACCAAATAAAAAAAAATATATATATAAGCCATTTGTTTTTGTTTTTATCCCAGACACCCAAAAGCTTTTGCACACTGAGCGAGTGACAAGGATCCAAAATACATGTCATCAACTTGTTTATGCTTCAGTATGGGAAGCATAAACAACCCTAGAGACCCACGAATGTCTAGAAAAAGAGTTTGAAATAAGAAAAAGTTGCTCAAAATGCAGCAAAAACTTTACAAAGATGCACTGAAGCATTAAAAAGGATGCAACTCCTGTTACAAGTGACATTATGCAATTAATTAATTCAACACCTTCAAAAAGAGATCTCAGCCTTGCTGACAGTAAGAAGGAACTTTACTCTCACAGTAGAGAAGCGAAACGTTTATGCTTGAAAAAGGTGGCGATTTCAGACGTACCGTGCACAAAAATTTTAAGCACCATTGCTTCCACTTATAAACTCCTCCAAAAATGCCTTCAGACACTTTGGTATGGGTGGCACTGATTCAAGGCTTGCTTCTCCCATACCAACGGACAAATGCCATTCAATCACAAATGGTTGAAGAGATGCTGGAATGCAACAGACACATGCTTTCTGGCAGTAGCTAAAGGGATGCCAATCACCACCGTCACCAGTTTGGCCAAGCCCAGTTTTACTAGCATAATGAATGGGAGGTTTACCCTCTCATTGGACCATAGACACTTACCTTTCACAGCGTCTTCCAGTATAACCAGCAGGACATTCACATGTGGGCTGTCCATCTGAGTCCAGGTAACAAGATGAAGGCCTTTGGAAGAAGAAAAGTATTAGATTGGATGAATATGAATTATAGGTTATGCCTGAAGGGCATACCTATAACCTCTTTATCTGAAAAAAATGTATTTGATAAAGTTAATAGAGAAAGGCAAACTCACTTGCTACTGGAGTACAGGGTGAAGGTACAAGGACAGGGTCTACATGCCTGTGGATCACCAGTCCTTGGATTTCCATAGAAACCAGGAAGGCAGTTTTCACAGCGGCTCCCAACCGTGTTATGTAGGCAATTCTAAAACAGAAGGGAAAATGTGGTCGACTAGCGAGGATGACTAGATTGTATTTTTTCTTATATATTTCTGTAATACAGACTTTCTTGACTAGTGATCCAAGAACCAACTAGTTGATTAATGAGGAAGACTAATTTATGTTTTTTATTCATATACATTTTTTGGTCTTTGATTTTATTGATGATAGTCAAATATTCAACTATTATTTAATTATAACAATTTAATTATTCAGGCTGACTAGTTTGATGAATTAGATCATCAAGAGAAGAAAGAAAGAAAGAAAGAAAAGAAAGAAAGAATTTATTTTTAGGTTTTGATTTTATTCACAATAAACGACCAGACATCCGACTAGTTAATTACTGAGGCTGAGGCTCAGTAGTTTATGGAGGTTCATTTCTTTTATAGACTTATTGCTTTGATTTTAATTTTCACAGTAGTTGACTAGTCTACTTGTCATTCAATAACTTATTTTTTTTTCCCGGTGCTTTATTTAACGGTTTCTGAACAACCCCCCCTGCTAAGCCTGTAACCTCCCTGCTAAGAAACAAGTCAAACTAGGGTCAGGTGAACCCAAATCCAGCCTAATTATAAAGGGGTTCCCGTTACAACTGATTAGTCAACTAGTAAAGGCAACTGTCCGACTAGTTAATTTTGTCCAGAAACAGCATAATCACTGCAATGGAAAGGTTAACTCACTAGGCATTCTCCAGTCTCTAAGTCACAGCCGCTGGCATACCCGTGGCAGTCACACTTCTCACAGGTGCCAAGATAAAGTCCCGGTGTACGGGTGTAGCCGACATCACAGTCCTGCAAACAATGGGTGAGTCAGAGGTGGCTGGGTTCACAGGTGTCTATGCCGAAGCTATGAAACTCTGCATCCATTCTCTTCATTGATATAGAGCTTTAGAGCTAACGTGTTCCATGAGTTGCTAAGAACTTCCATTTGGAGATCAAGAAAAATGAATAAAAGACTGTTATTAAGTTGACAGGCAGAACCTCTGCTTAATGCGAAGGTTTTTGCATCAACTCAGGCAGACACAAGTTCACACAGACTGAATGTTGCTATTTGAAGTCGTAATATACCTGGCAAGAAGGTCCTGTGTATCCTTGAGGACATGCGCACTCCTCCACCTCCAGAGCCCTCTCGTTTCCTGTAGAGTGGGGCACTGCAATGTCCATTTGTAAATTGGAGATACTAAACAGGAGAGATTGAGATTAAACACTATTATCCTGTTCACAAAATTAGTTAAGCGACAGATAGGAGCCAAACAGGACAATGTGATGCCATCCAGAGGATGTAAATATAAAGGACATCAAGAGTCAATGAATAATTAAGGAGCAAGAGTAAAATTGAAAGTGCAAAGTTACCTGCTCTCAGCCATATTGTCTGCATAAGTCGCTCTGATCATAAATACGCTGATATCGGCCAAAGCCATCAGCAGGTGCTCTCTAGTACATGGCTGCCCATCTGACCGTCTCCATGCAGACTGTGGGGATAACAGGCAATGGGAATTCATAGAGCAAATCAAGCTAGATCAAGTTTCACTGTATGGCCTTAAAAGAATATATATATATATATATATATATATATATATATATATATATATATATATATATATATA